TAAATGCTCTTAATAGCTGAGCCATCATGACAGCCAGGTTTCTTTTTTAACAAAATTGTTTTCTATTTTTTACAGTGTGTGTGTGTCTGAGTGTGTGTGTGTGTGTCTGTGTGTGTGTGTGTGTGTGTGTGGTGTGTGTTTGAGTGTGTGTGTGTATGTGTGTCTGAGTGTGTGTGTGTGTGTGGGTCTGAGTGTGTGTATGTGTGTCTGAGTGTGTGTGTGTATGTGTGTCTGAGTGTGTGTATGTGTGTCTGAGTGTGTGTGTATGTGGGTCTGAGTGTCTGAGTGTGTGTGTGTGTGTGTGTGTGTGTGTGTGTGTGGTGTGTGTGTGTGTGTGTGTGTGTATGTGTGTCTGAGTGTGCATGTGTATGTATGTGGTTCTGAGTGTATGTGTATGTGTGTGTTCGTGTGTACCGTGGCACTCATGTGGAGGTAACAACTTTGGAGCTGGTTCTTGGTCGGTCAGGCCTTCTCCCTTGCTCATTTCTCGCTCAACCCACCGATGTAGTTTGCTGTAGTTTGCTGGCCCGTGTTTCATTTGAGGCTTCACACAGCCTGATGACTCACCGTGTTCACTGTGCTTCCCTCCTGAACCCCCGTCCTCCCCATCCTCACAGTCATTCTCCTTCTGTTATGTCACGTAGCGGTATGTGTGGAGAACGGAACAAAATATTTGTGTGAGAGAGACAGACAGACACAGGGAAGGCTGTGCTGTTTATGTAGCCCGTAATGGTTTAAACGTGGTGGTCCTCTGTCAGCCTCCTCGGTGGCAGGAAGACAGGCATGTACCATTGTGGCTGGCTGACAACTATTTCCCTAAGAGTGAAGTAACATGGTCTCGCTTCAGCCTTGCCAATGAGCACAGACTTGCATTGGTCCAACATCTCTAACCTGAAAATCTAAATGCTCAAAATCCAAACCTTTTTGATGCTAGCAATGACAGTACAAGTGGAAAATTCCACAGCTGATCTCATGTTCAAGGTCATAGTGAAATCAGGAGAACTACAAATACAGTATAAAAGCAGTGTTGGCCTAGGGGCACAGCTGTCTGAGACACAGACGAATGGAATGGTGTGCTTACATTTCAGTTTTATCCTCATATCCACGTGCAAACACTTTAAAAACAAAAGACAGCAAACAACAGTTGCAATCTGAAATCCTGCTGGTCTCCAGCATTTCATAAAAGAGACACTCGATCTTAGCTTCCAAGAGAAAAACCCCCAAACAAAAGAACAAAACAACAAAAAGATTTATTTTCATCATTACCAAAAATAGACAGCAGAGGGCGCCTTTGCAAGGAATTACAGTCTACAAGACCATTTCAGGAGGTATAGAAAATTGCAAAGGAAATGAACCACACAGGCAGTGTTTTGGTAGAAAACTAACTAGTTTAGTGGTATCTGCTTACAGGAACCCAATTGTATAAAAGTTATGTCTGTTTTTCTCAAAATGAGAATCCTTATAAAGTTTAGTATTTTTTTTTTTTTCTGTTACCACGGTCTGCCAATTTGGCATTTCCTTTTTTTCTTCCTCTCTACTTTTTAATTTAAATTGGAAACAAGATTATTTCACATGACAATCCCAGGTCCCTCTCCTTCCCCTCCTCCCCTGCCCCCCTCCCAACTAACACCCTACTTATCCCCTACCCTTTCTGCTCCCCAGGAAAGGTGAGGCCTTCCATAGGGGCATCTTCAGAGTCTGTCGTTATCCTTTGGGATAGGGCCTAGGCCCACCCCCGTGTCTCTAGGCTCAGGGAGTATTCCTCTATGTGGAATGGGCTCCCAAAGTCCATTCCAATGCTAGGGAGAAGTACTGATCCAATACAAGAGGCCCTGTAGATTTCCGAGGTCTCCTCACTGACACCCACTTTCAGGGAGTCTGGAACAGTCAGTCCTATGCTGGTTCCCCAGCCATCAGTCTGGGGACCTGAAGTTTAGTCAATGAGCCAGGCATGGTGACATACTTAAACCCTACTTCAAGAGGTGGAGGCAAGAGGGTCAGGGGTTCAAAGTCATTCTCAGACACAGTGAGTTTCAGGCCATCCCGTGTTACACAGGAACCTGTCTCAAAAAAATGAAAACTTTTACAATGAGAATTTGAATTGGGCATTTTAATTAGGAATTCAGGAACTGCAAAATCTTACAGAAAAGCAAGTCTTAAGTTACTGAGCCCTTGGAGCCTATCCTGGAAGTCGTTCTGTAGACCAGGCTGGCCTCGAACTCACAGAGATCTGCCTGCCTCTGTCTCCTGAGTGCTGGGATTAGATGCATGCGCCACCCCTGCCTGGCAAACGAATCTTTTAAAAAAAGATCTCTCTACCTACTTACCTACCCTTGAGTACCACTATCTGAGGGCACTACACCACCTCAATAGTCATACTAATGCTTTTAATATCTGAGCTGGAATTACTCAAAGTTGTGGGCTGCCTGATATGAGTGCTGGGAAACGACCCTGGATCCTCCAAGAACAGAGAGTGCTCCTAGCCACAGAGCGGCTCCTTCTGTCCCCACCCCACCTCCGTGAGAGCCATATATATATACAAATATGGAGGTCAGTGGATGACCGGCAGGAGGAGTCCATCTGCTCCCCCCACTCGTTAGGTTCTGGGGCTTGGACTTGGGTCATTAGTTTGGTGGCAAGAGCTTTTACTGGGTGAGCCGTCTCTCTAACCCTCACCCTGATCAATCTTTCTTTCCTTTATTTAGTTGTTTGTTCATTTGTTTGAGATGGTGTCTCACATATGTATTCTAGGCGGGTCTGAACTTGCTTTGTAGCTGAGGATGGCCTAGAACCTCTGATTCTCCTGCCTTCATTTCCCGAGTGCCGGGTTTCAGGTTTGCAGTACCAAGCTCAGTTTCATGGGAGGCTGGGGACCAAACCCAGGGTCACGCATTCTGGACCGTTGCTCTACAACTGAGCTACATCCCAGCACTTGTGCCCCTTTCAAGGACAAATCCCTAGAGATGCCATGCCCAGGGTGCGTCTCAGCTTCAGACACTCCACAAACTTTTCTCCACAAGAGCCTGTGTGATTTCTTCTCAACACAACAACCTCTCCCAAGCTCTCCAACGAGTACTTCCTCAATATTCCTTACTGTTACATTAAGTCAATCTACTATTTGGGGGGCAAATGCCTCTTACAGTCGTCTCCCTCACTGGCTGTGATCACTGGGTGAGGCTGCATGCATTGTCTCTCCTTTTACACTGGGCCTTCTTTTCTGGCCTTTGGGGTCATATCACTGGTCTACTTCCTTGTTTATACGACCATATTTTCCTCAAAAAATAAACTATGAACTGAACAACCCTTTATCTTTTGAAGTGTTACAAATATAACTTAAAAAGGGCTTTGTTTGTCCCCAGATGTACAGTGACATTTGGTACATAATGATATGAGCTCAAGGTCATCAGGGTTGTGATTAGAACAGAGAATGAAAGAGGAATTCTACAGTCTCTACTCAGCTTTGGGAAAATAACGGGTGACTTGATGGGAACAAAAGACACTGAAGCCCATGGCTTCAGTAACAAGGT